GTGGGCTCAGGCAATCCACTCACCTCAGCCTCACAAAGGCGCGGGATTACAGGCTGAGCCGCCGAGCCAGCGGGGGTGAGTTCTCAACTGATCCGACTCCCCTCCCCCAGCAATTTGCCAGGCATGTGACCCACACGGGCAACGACCTCATGGGCGCAGGTGGAGAGGGCTGAACACAGGCGGACTTGTTGGGGGCACGTCGTAGCCTCCTCCTGACCGCACAGTGAGCAGTGGGGAAAATCTAGAGGTGGGAGCTCCCTCCTCTTGCCGCAAGCCAAGAGCAGGGGTGCTTGGGTCACGCCCACAGGGACACCTAAATTGCAGAAACTGCCACAAGAGGACACAAGGGATATAAGTTTTTGAGTTTTTCAATTATTATTACCTTTTATTTATTTACTTTTATTTTTTCTCTGCTGTCTATATATATATTGAGTGTGTGTGTATTTTGTCTTGTTTTATTCCTTCTTTATTTTTTTTCCACAAAAGGGCATACATGAGTGTGAAAGTATCCTCATACCGTCGGTTTTAGTTGTTTTTTTTTCTCTCTCTCTTTTTTACAGGTTTGTCTGTTGCCTGGTTTGTTTGTTTTTCCTTCTCTACTTCTTTCTCTTCATTGTCTTTTCTTCCCCTTTTTCTCTTTCTCAGTTCTTTTCCTCTCCCTTACATTATTTTGTACACAGGGGATATGCATAAGTTCCCATTGCATGGAAATATTAAGAGATGGTGGGAAGTGGGTCCCAGGGGGCCCAGACCCCAGTCAGTGAACACTGTAATCTGCAGGAAACTTTTGAATCTTAACATCCCCCAATACACCTTACTTAAATCTCAAAACTGCAAAAGGACAGCAAAGCTCCCCACCTCTAGCCTGGCTTCAAAATTGAACAAATGCAGAGGCTCTACCTAGGGAATAATAGGGGTTGAGCAAACAGAAGTGAAAGATAGTCTCTCTCTCACTGAGCAACATAAGGAAAAAGAAAACCCATCACAAATGAAGAGCAGTCAATGAAAAAACACAGGGAACCCAGAGAACCCTAGAAAGACAGTGCTGGAGAAAACAGACTTTGAAATTCAAGTAATGAAGAGCACCCAGATCGAATAGTCTCAGACCACAAATGTAGAGATCAAAGAATGGTTGGAAAAGATGAATAAGAACCAAGAAAGGCAAGATGAAAACATAAAAGAATTAATGACAGAGATATACTGAGTTTCCCACCATTCTCATGTTTCCTCAAGAAACTGACACTCATTTATTTATATTCCTACTCAAGTTCATATTTAAAATGGTATAAGGAGAAGAAATAAAAAGGGAGAATTTTCAATGTCTATATAATCTTTCTTAAGTCAGTGATTTATTTTTCTTCTTTTCTTTTTCCAAGTATATTTCAACAGAAAAACACGCAAGCAAACTATAAGCCATCTTCTACACTAGAAAAATACTGGGCATGGGTGGGATAGTTTTCTGTATTTTTCCCATTTCCAAATGTTATTATCAATAGACTAGTAAAATTTATTATTTCTTAATACTCCTACTTGGTAATCTGTCTCTTTCATCTCATTTAATTATTCAAGCTTACAGAGAAAAATATATGTTACAATGTAACTACTTGACTTTCAAAAAGTAACATAAGAATTAGGAAAAAGATATTCTGGTTGTTCTGTTACTCAAAAAAAGTAAACTTAATGGCTTTTTTAAATTTTATTTTAGTAGCTGCCTGGAACTTAGGACCAAGTTGAGATTTTAGGTCAAAGACTTTTCCTGCCCTAAATAATTATTGTCTAGAATATTGCTTGAAAAAATTAACAGTATAAAAGGGAATAAAATACAAATTATCCAATTTTGTCATTTAACAATTAAAAGACTTTATAAAGGGTTTACTTAAGGAAAAGTCTAACAGTCTGTTCTCCTAATGACTTTAGGAACTATTCTCCACAACTAAAAATAAAACCTTTGGTTTCCACGTGTTTATTTGATAAACACTTTATAATAATGCCATTTAATAGTCAAAACAATGCTTTACAATTTTAAGCTCTCAGATCAAATTTATGCTAGTATAGGGTATCAAATTACCAAGGGGTAGCCTGAGGCCTAATGACTTTAAGAAAAATAAAAGTCGTCTTTCAAATTCAAACAGGGAAGAAATTTTCACTAAAATATAAATACTCTCATAGAAATATTATTTTGGTTATTTTTATAAAATTATATATAAATGAGTTAACAATTGCTAAGCAGGTCAGATGCACAGAAGGGAGGAATCTAGATCACTAAAACAGTCTTACCTTCTGATGTTTTCCATCGTTTCCATAAATCCTCAACAGTGATATGTTTATCCTCTCTGTGCAGATGGCTATGTTTATTAGTAGCATCTTTATATTTCATATCTTCTCTGATAAACTAGAGAAGAGAAAACACTAGGTTAAATATAAATTCTTTAAGTCTTGATAAACAGAAAAAGATAACATCTGATATTCAGTGGATGACTATTTTTAGACAATAACTGGCATATTTTTGGTATTTTATAGTCGCAATATACTTACACATTTACAAAATATATGTAATGAAATGTCTTCTACTACTAATCATAACAACAACACAGCAGCAGTAGTAAAAGTACTTACTCAATGTTCATGATTTACCAGGTGCTATTCTAAGTTATATAACAACTACATCTATACAGTCAGCCCCTCTTTATCATGAGTTCCACATCCATGGATTCAACCAACTGTGGATCAAAAATATTCAGGAAAAAAAAATGGATGAGTGTATCTATACTGAACATATCCAGGTTTTTTAAAATCATTATTTCCTAAACAATGTAATACAACTATTTATATAGACTTTACATTGTATTAGGTATTATCAGTAATCCAGAGATGATTTAAAGTATACAGGAGGATGTGTGTAAGTTATATACAAATACACCATTTTATATAAGAGATTTTAATATCTGTGGTGGGTTTTGGTATCCACAAGGTGTGGGGGAATCCTGGAACTAATCACTCACAGATACTTATGAATAAATGACTATTGTATAGTCTTTTCAAAAAGATTCATCCAGATGATTCTTTTAAATAAACTCTTCTAGTACCACTAAAAGTATTGCTTTACCTGTCCAATTTGGGTATGTTAATTTTCTAACAATAAACTGATTACATAGTTTTTCTTACCTATAATTAAAATATTCTGTATTTGTGCCAAGTTATTTTTATGATACTGCTTTAACAAAATCTGATGGATGTTATTATAGAAATATTCTGAGGCTCTATTCAGCCCATACCCTTTTCCCAGAAAACTACCCACCAACATCAGTGTAGATCCCTACATGTTGTCTAGTCACTCCCTCCCTCAACCTATCACCCACTACCACAGATGTTTGATCAAAGAACAAACAGACACCTTAGCTAGAGTAGAACAACTTGTGCCAAGGTGGAACGATTCTTTCTCATAAGAAACTATAGCTGAGATCATAAAAGTTGGTCACTTGGCCTTGGCTCTGGACTTTTAGGGTGATAAACACACTGTGTTAAAGCCACCATTTTATGGACAGTCAAGATAGGCCAGATGGTAAGGGAAACAGATGAAAATAAATATTCAGGGTTAGTGCATACTTATAGTAAAAGAGAACAGAGGTGACCACAGAAAGCTAAAGAAATAGCACCAGTGTACACCTCAGTTCTTGATGACTTTCCACTTTCAATTCCTTAGGGGGTCTAGTCTGCACAATTTTTATCCTAATTTCTATAATATAAATCTGTTTCCCCTATTATTTTAAAATACACAATTTTAAAACCTCAATACGCAGGAGAATAAGCACTCAGACTCTGGAGTCTGACATATATTCAAAACCTAACTCCACTACTTATGAGACATTTGCAAGTTACTTGACCTCTCATTAGTCTCATTTTTCTTTTCTGTACAATAAAGAAAATAATATATAAGGTTATGATAAAGATTACATTAAGTGTAGACAACACAAAAGTGTTAGAAGCATTAGACAATACAAATATGTGGAGTGTCTTTATATGTCAATGTTGTAGTACTGTTGAAGCTTAAAGCATGGATAAATGAGTTTCAACCTGACTAACTATATTTGCAGGTATAATACATGTTTGGGGGAATATCAGACACTTATGTAAGGTTGCCCAATACTCTTGGAGTCCCATTTCAGATATTCTGAAACAAAACATATAACAGAGATGGAGCAGAAAACCACAGCCTCTTTGCGACAATGTAATCAGAGACCCTCCCAAAGGACACCTGTCATCAAAATAACACGATGCTCAAGGTCTGATATATGAGTCAGTTAAAGCAGGTGGGCTCCTTATAAGCAATTGCAAGGTCTGGCTATCTTAAAAAATGTTTAGATAGCTTAGTACAATGTCTCAGAGGAAAGAATGCACAACAAGAAAAGTACTATTGTTAATCCTACTTTTCTTTTTTTTTTTTTTTTTTTGAGTTGGAGTCTCACTCCGCCACCCAGGTTGGAGTGCAGTGGCATGCTCACGGCCACCCCAGCGTCCACCTGCAGGGTTCCAACGATCCTTTCACCTCAGCCTTCCAAGGAACCGTAACTACAGGTGCACGCTACCATGCTGGCTAATTTTTTGGTTTATTGTAGAGATCAGGTCTTGCCAAGTAGTCCAGGTTGGTCTTGAACCCTCAGGCACAGGCAATCCACTAGCCTCGGCCTCCCAAAGTACTGGGATTCCAGGCTGAGCCACCGAGTCTGGTCTATTAATCCTACTTTTAAAGATGAAAATTAAAACTAAGGCTAAGAGAAGGTTAGCAATTCATTCTATTTCATATAGCTATTTAAAAGAAGAACCAATATTGGAAGTAAATGTAAAGAATTCAAATATTTAAATTCTTCTTCATATGGTAACCTGGATGTTCACTCTCAGAAGTGATAACATACTAGAATAGCATGAACTGCATGTGTTTCTCTCTTTACCCTACAATTGCTATATTAAACAAATAGTATAGTGATGGCAGCACAGACTCAGTCTCCAAACTACAAAAATATTTCAAATCTCCTACTTGTTGATTGCCATTGTAAGTTATTTTACTGTGTGCTTCAGTTTTTTCGTGTTCAAAATGGTAACCTTCAAAGGGTTTTGAGGATGAAGTGATTTATCTCATCTGAAGTGTAAAAAAAAAACAGTGCTCGGTAAGTAGTAGACGCTCCATAATGTCAGTTATTTTTGTTTTATGGTTAATCATTTATTTTTCAAAACAATGAGTTAAAATTTTACTTGATTTGCATAGTCTATAATTTCTTGACATGAGTGAAGATTGAGGTACCACAAAACATCAGCTGATAATTACTGATCTAAGAATTAAATCTATTCCCCTATTGGGAATATACCCAGAGGAACTCATATCATTCTACAAAAAAGATACCTGCATATGTATGTTTGTTGCAGCTCTATTCACAATAACAAAAACATGGAACCAACCATCTTGCCCATCGAAGCAGGACTGGATAAAAAAAATGTGGTACATATACAAAACGGAATATTATGCAGCCATAAAGAAGGACAAATATATAGACTTTGCAGCAAATTGGATGGATTTGGAGTCGATCATACTCAGTGATTTATCAGAAAAACAAAGAAATGAGTTCCATATGTTCTCACTCATAAGGTGACCTTGAACAATTATAATGCTATAAGAAAGTAATTGGCAGCAGTGGAAAACTGTCAAGAGAAGGGGGGGTGGGACTGGTAGAAAACTGGGGAAAACTGCTAGGGGAGGGAGGGGCATACTTCATCAACAAGGGCACCTGCATGACCAATGTTTGTATACCTAACCCTGAATTGGACCCTACATCTTTATAATAAATAAATAAATATTTCAAAAAAGAATTAAATCTAAAAAGCATAGCAATACCAGCATATGGTATTGCTATGATTTGTTTAGAGATAGGGGTTACTACTAAGACATTCCTTGTTTTAATAACCTTTATCTTATTATCTAAAATGGATGATGACACTGACATAAAACACAAGTGAATATAGACAAACTAGAACACATTTTTACAAAAATAAAAACAAAAAGTAAATTACTTAACAACTGGAAAAAAATTCTTCAGCCCCTAAATTCAAACAAACTGTATGCTAGTGAAAACTTTAAGCTGATTTGTACAGTTTCTATACTTTAACACATGTAAGACTAATTAACATTTCTGTCCTACCTCTCACCACTGTAACTACCTGTACTGTTGCTATATCATCAGTTTAGCCCTTAATCTCATCCCCTGAGCTACCAATATCCAAAACCCACTAGCCAATCCCTGGTTTACTTATAATAAATCCACCAAAATGATCTCCTTAGGATTCCATTCTCGGTAGAGATCAAGGTCCAACAACCTTCATAATTCCAGTCAAAACCATTTAAGCTAAATCATGGCATTTTATGAGCTAGCCAGAGAACTTAACCACTATTTATAATACTGATTCAATCAACAGATAAATCATAGATGACACATTCAAATAACTCATTTACAAAGAAACTTATGAAACACACTGTTTTTATGAATTGGAGTCTGCCTGTATCATTCATTTTATCAGAACCAATACATGACATACATGTCCCAAATCATGACTACTCTTCAAGGTTATTGTTGATTATAATCCAAAAATCTCTAGCGAAATTAGTCATGATTCCATCGCTCTCTACTAATAATAATTTTAAAAGGTACTGTACTATTATCAAAAAGAACACAGAAACGAGTCCAAACACTTGGAAAATGACTTACTTACTGTGTTCTCATGTGGAAAACAAAGGTAAAAACTACTTCACAAAGTAATACACTTTTTAAAAGCATAGCTTTACAAACATGGTGAAAAAAAGAGATAATCTTACAATACAGTTATTTCACATTTAATACAATCATATTAATTGAGTATGACCACTTTGGGATTTGTTTCATGCTGATTAGAAGCTCTGATGGCTGTAATATATCTGACACATTTTTTAAAAAATAACAAACCAATCAGAGTTTCTGATGTATATTATCATGCTCTCTTAACTTCTCCCCTATTGCATAATGATGTTACCTGGATCCACTGCTTGATAATTCCCAAAAACAACAGCAAACTGCATCAAGCACTCCCAGAGTTTTAGTCAGAGAGGCATTCTATCTAAAGAACAGTTTTATATCAGTCCATTTTGTACTGCTATGACAGAATGCCTGTGACTGGGAAATTTATAAAGAAGTTGATTTTTCTCACAGTTCTGGAGGCTGGGAAGTCCAAGATCAAGGCACTGGCATCTGGCAAGGACTTTCTTACTGTATCCTCACATGGCAAAAAGAGGAAGGGCAAGAGAGAGAGCCCACTCCCACATTCTCTTTTTATCACAGAATGAATCCCCTCATGACCTAAACACCTCAT